TCTTAGATCTGCCAAAAGAAAAAATCCACATCTTTTAAGCACAAAAACAATTGTGAAGCTAATTTGTTTTTAATCCATTTTTAAAGCAGCGTGCAAAATTAAGCTTCAAAGACTTGCATTAATATTTAGTATTCTCTCTGTTTCATGCAATCTAATTTCATGTCATCTAATGACATTAACAATGCTTGCGCATATTAATATCGTAAAAATAATAATTATTTACCTGCATCGCTTCACATGGTCATTTGACTAAGAACGTCTTCCTTCTTCCATTATCTCCTTTCCTCCTCGGTATTTGTTTTCAGTTTCTGTTTCATATGAAGATTAAATGTCTGAAGAACGCTGTATCTTACTTGTTGCATTTCAAACAGCTTGTGCAATGTTCTGTCACATGTTCATCCATTTTACTTCTTGCATTAATGAATATATTTCATGTGCTGGGTGTGGGTTGACTTGTCTCAATTCAAACCTAGATATTATTTCTTCTACAAAAATGTTGGATTTGCAAACATTTCCAAGTGTCTGTTCACAACCCAACAGTAGTAAATTACAATAAAAAAGGGGGAGAAAGAGGGGAGTGTTGGGGGGGGGGGGGTTATTGAATTGAATAACAATGTTAAAATAAAGAGTTGAACTGCTACAAAAAACATCCTAATTCATTGAACGTCATAAATAATTTCTGTTGGACATTTGGTCATGTAATTCTTTGGAGCGTTAAGCTCATTTATCTGGATGCAACCACCCAGTAGAGGAGAAAACGGAGGAGAAAATTAGCAACAAAATTCTACCGTAAATCTTTTCAAAGGCGCTTTCAATCATATTGGTTTTAGAATTGATTAAAACCTGTTTCAATTAGAACTTCTAAAATAGGTAGAGTACGCCTTACAACAACTGGGAATTTGCAGTATGACTCACGCTGTTGAATCCACCCCTGCTCCCAAATAATTGACTCAATGGGTACTTTAAGAGTACTGGCAAAAAGAAATTAACGCCACAATGCAGCTACTTTAGCAATTGCAAACTGCCGTTTAAATCACCAATGTAGGCTTAACACGTTGATTGCCATTTCATGCAGGAAATAAAGCGACATAGACAGTACTAAATATTTGGGACACATCCCTTTGTTTGCGACAGTGACATTTTAAACCGTATCATCAGCACACCTCAGTTATAATGTGCGTAACACAAGCGTACAACAATGCCAACAGACACATTATCAAGGTACATTGCTAAAACGCTGTCAGAAAAATGTATAACTTCACCAACATGTACCTTGTTGCAAAGCTCTTAAGTGATGCACTTCCCAGGAAGGGACAATAGACAGCAACCTTGATATTTCCTCGCCCTAATAAGGCTACACTCAGGGAAAATACAGCAATAACCCTATCACCACCACCACCAGCAGCTGAGACGTTACCTGAGCACAGGTCAGGGATAAAACCTTGGTCCTCTCTAGTTTGTATGACTCGCTAACAACCACACCATCATGTGCATTTACCTTTAATTTTTTTTTCCAGTTTGTGCTGGTAATCACATTGCACTTTGAGTATGGCAATCAGCAGGAGTGTTTGCAGCAGCCCTATTAATCATGGCTGCTACTTTCGACTTACCAGTGGTAACACCCCACACAATAACTAGGGAGATTTTGTCCAGTGGGTGTGTGAAACTCCTGGATGTACAGCTTCACTGTCGAAAGTAGTTTCCGTGCTGCCTATTAGGCATTAGATAGAGCTAAAAAAAACCTAACAGCTGATCGCAATCGGACCAAATTTTAGCATCTTCCTCCACATCTCTTCATTTCCCCATTGACAGCTGGCACCTGTCCCATCCCATGCTGGGGGCCTTCTAAGTAATAGTGTGTGGTCCATCTGCTGCTGTGTGCCTTTCGTTTTTATTTCCATCCGCCTGATCAATGTCCATACCCCTAAGAGTGGCAGATGATTTTGACATTCACGCCCAAGCATGCGATCTCACACACACGCGCGCACACACACAAAGTTAATAATTTAGCACTGAAATGTTTCTTGCATGTGTTTCAGCTCCTCTTTTTGTCGCTATTCTTTTCTCTTTTGGGTCAGATGTGATTATTATTATATGTGTTGAGTCAGATCTATTACGTTTCCCATTATATTCGGAAGATACAAAAATAAACCCATTTTTGCATTTGATTTTGCTTTATACAAGGCAGTCCTTTAAAGCCAGTCTCAAGACCACACAGGTGAGAATCAGCACAGTTGGCTGATTTCTGCTTTGCAAAACTTTTATGAGTAATTAGGGACCCAAGTTCAATTAGATATGCAAGTTTTTTTTAATTTTTTTTAGTTTCTTTAGTTAATTAGTGGAGGCTTCCTAGTAATAAGCCTCAGGAGCCTGGCATCTAATAGCTGTGTGTACCATTACACGATAAAGACTTGTACAGGGACACTGAGCAGAACAGTGGGTTGGACACTGGCCTTTTTACCTCTTGGACTTGGGTTCAAATTCTGTCCAGACTGTTCGAATGAAATATTCCTCCATTTGCTGTCTGTAAAGATTTTATATGAAGTGAGGATGGGCAGTTGAAACCTAGTTCCACCTTCAACTCAGTGTGACAATTTCACCGACTGGGTGATGCTATTTCTGGGACAAAGTCTGTGGCAAAGTTTGCCATTGTGTAAATGGCAGAAATTTACTACAAATAGAAGATTTTTTTAAAAAAATCATTATGAGTAATTATTCTCCATTCCACTGCTCCCATTGTTTTGTGGTATAATTACTGTTCATTACATTTTCATGATCATTTGGTGATGAGGGTAAGTCTAGTCTCTGACGCTCTGTATATCGACAGTTTTCTGGTGCATAGGTGATCCCTGGTAGCCTAGGTAACTGATCTCTCTTTGACTTAGCAAGAGAAACCTTGGAGTGGAGGCACATACTTCATGCTTGGTGGGCAAAACAAAATCTTTTTAGCTCATCACAGAGCAAAGTGTTTAAAAATCTTATCGGAAAGGGGCTGGGGTTGCAGTCTTTGCATTACTATCGATGTCTTTGGCTTTTTGCTCGAACAAGTAAGCCCGATACTTACAAAGGAGCAAGCGACAAATTGTCTGGCATCGAATCAATCCAATTTAATGTCAGGAGAACATCTGATCGAAATGAACAAAATCGGGTCACATGCCCGGTTTAGACAAAGCGCAGAAGGCATCAACTAAAAGCTGCATGAAAAGGGATGGTGGTTATTGTAATAATATTTGCATAATTTGTGCTTGTTTTACGCATTGCAAGAAACAGGCACAATCTATTTGGTGGAGCTGGCCTGTGATATGTTTTGGAGCTGCAGTGGAGTCCTGCTGAGGAGAGCTGGTGGCAGAGGCCAATTGTGGTAATAGCTTACAGCACCTTCAAATGTTACCAATGGCAACCACATCTATTTTAAACCATCCGGGATCACAGTGGACTACATGTGCACTGCACTGCAGTCTGTTCAAATAGTGCATGTGGTTTTATTTTAGAAGTGTTTGATATTAGAACCATTACTGAAAAAGCTAATACAGGATCTACATTCCTACCATCAGCACTGCTAACTGTTAAGACGGGCTCGTGCCCAAAATCTCCAGAGGGGCTCTGTATGATATTCAGGTTTACCTCATTCATCTATGTTACTGAGGTCTGGTTGGGATACAACTCACAGCTGGAGCACATGAAGTGTGTTGGGGTTCCAGACAATTTGAGAACCCCTATTGTAGCTCAACATGATTGTTGGTTTTCTTCCTGTGCTCCCAACTAATTAAATCATTATTTTCTCGCTGTATTGATTTGCTGTAGTGGTGCTCTCAACCTATTCTTTGCTCACTCTTGCCAATTCCTCTTACCACCTCATATTTTCTGCTATACTCAGTCATTCCTGCCATTTTTCTCAGTTATTCAGATTAATTGTACATCGCACATCTTGCATCAGTTGCAAACAGTAGAATTTGATGAGTGTAGTTTCCCAATTTAGCTCAACAAAGGATTTTACAAACTAGTCCCGTGAGTGAGGGGGAATTCTAAAGCTTGTAATTTAAAATGACTATTTAAATCTCCAACAAAATCAATAACTCCAGAAATGTTTCAACTCTTCAAATATTTTATTTTAATACTGTATTATAAGAGCTGTTGGTTTATTTTAGATATTATGAACTTTTATTTAAGTCGATTTGATTGTTTAGCAACTATCGAGGCTATTTTCTGCTTAGTTATTAGCCTACAAGACAGTACAAATTTAGATTTATACAGTGCCTTTCACTTTGGGAGCACATCCCAAGGCCTTTAAAAAACTATGGTAAATACATTTAGTTTTGAGGAGCACCACAAGTACTATATAATACAATACTTTTGCAGGTTGTATAGCAAGAATTTTATTTCCACTTTGCCCGACTGAATTTTCCGGTCATCCCACTTGTGCAAAGACAAATCAATATAAAAATCAGCCTTTATAGCAACATATAGCATTACTAATATGTAAATTAAAAAAAAAGGTCTTGGCCTAGATATTTGACTTGGCCTGATTCTCTACCTGCCAACACAAACTACTGCCAGATAATTTTTCCTACTGCCATTCCTGCTGGCAGTAATCAGTAATAGTTGGAGACAGAGCACCAACATTATCAACCTTCTTCCTGGCCAAGCAGTAGGCAGATTAATTGCCAATGGCAACCCTTTTAGTGTGCAGCTAGGAGAAAGTCCAGATCATCATTTTCAACTTGTAAAATACATATGGTAAAATATTCTGTTACTCCTAACGTAAAACCTGAACAATACATTCAGATATGCCAGACCAGCCAGCCAACCAAGAACCAAAGCTTTATGTTTGTGATCTGAAAGGTTTGATCCCTGAAATACACGCATTTTGATCATCTGAATTCACACTTGGAGAGAGTCAAATACAGACAAAGCGACACGTGTACAGGTATGGACAATAGACCTTTTGTTATTCCCCCAAAAATGTTGACAATTGACAAAATGTAACATCGAATTCCTACCTTGTGGCATCAAAACTGTCATAGGATCCAACAGTGTAGTGCCTAAATAATTTCTTCGCTCTGTCTGTACGGGTTTCTGTGAAGAGGCAAGACATGTTTCAGAAAATTAAGAAAAGTTAAGGTTGTTCAAATGAATGCCTTTAATATATGGAAGGATAATTATGCTCCATTCAGACACAAGATGAATAATTCTCCACCCTGCTTGTAGCTGTCTCGAACATCACCATGGCACACTGTTTCTGCAGTGTGTATCATCAATTTTTTATGCGCAAGAAGGAACATGATCAAATGCGTGCCACCGTTTTAAGTGCAATATGGGATTTTTTCGCCAACATCTACAAGGCACGGATGAGTCATTCCGTATCATTTCTTAGCTGTTAAGCATTATCTGTGAAATACAAATTTCATTCATTACTTTTCAGTGCGTCTGCTACGTGAGTCACCGTAACGTTGGGATAAGAGCTATAAAATCTTCAGAGAGTTTAAAGGGAGGTTACAATTTGACTATTTTCAAGACTAACAATAATTTATTTCTAATTTGATTACCCATAGGCACCTTTCTATTTTCTGATTGGTCGTATGAATGCTAACAATTTTTCATTTGAGATACCCTTGAAGCTGTTCGACAAGACACGTGCATGGACTGATTATGAACTAGAGCCTAAAACAGCTTTCCAATCAGAAAGTTAAAGATATAACTATTTTCCCATTCGAGTATATTAGTATTACAAGGAAAGCTGGGACAAGAGGAGATCATTCAACTCATCAAGCTTGTTCTACCAGCCTCTTAGATCATGGCATTTCTATTAATCCCAATGACCTGCTCTTTTGCCCAGACTTTGCTGCCTACTTCAGTTATCACCAAAACAGGAAAGCATTAAGAAAAACTAATCATTTACAATCACATTGGGTTGTCTCACACATTACTGAACTCTGCAGAGATCAAGAAAAAAACACTACTGAAAGTATAAGATAGTTATTTTCCTGTACAATCATAATTACCACACAATGTCTATTGCCTACAACCAGTCAGATAGCATTAAGGTGAACAATAGTCATATTTTCAAAGCAAAACTAACAAAAAACTAACTGGATTCCATGAATCTTTATTTTGAGAATATCAGACTGCATCACTCGTATCACAGATGAAATGAAAGTAATTTCCCTAGAATCTAAGAATTAAGGATCAATGACCCTGGACAGGGGAGCGGAAAAATATCAGACAGCATTACTAATCACTATCAAGTGACCTCTGCTGGAAATACAACGTGATTTATATTTAGATAGTGGCCTTTCACACGGTGACGACATCTCAACGTTGCTGGCTAGGAACAACTTAGGCAAGTCTGGATATTGACTGAGGATAGGATTGCATGTTACTGTCTAGTCTAACACTTTATCCAAAAATAATACATCCTGCCCTTAAATAAAGCAGAGTTCATTGGGTAACAGCTTGAACATTAGTTAGACCTACTTCATTTATACTGGACCCTCATTATCGTCCGATTCTACATTAGTACAATTAAATAATTATTTTATGATTCATAAAGTTTTACTTTCCAGTTACCATTGGAGATGAGATTTCTGCATGAAATCTCTCAGTCATGACAGTCTTTCAACAATATTAAATGCCTAACTTTTTTAAAAAAGTTTTTTCAAAAAAAGCTTTTCAAAATTCACCATTTCACTTGATAGTTATTAAAGTCCCTGTTTAATAACTCAAACTTTCCTGAGTTACTATAGAATTTCCTTTACACACCACATGATAGGGAAAAACAGACCTTCATACAATCAATTCATACAAACATTTACCACAGCCTTCCAAATTCAGGGTTAATATCCTTCATTTTAAATACCATTGTTATATATAGAATAAATTACAGCCTTATTACTCACTTGCAAACAGAGCTGCTGCTACCCTTTCAAAAAACCGAAAGGCTACAAAGCTTTTATTTTTGGACTTTATTTTCATCCTCACCAAGTTGAGGTATGCTGGTGCATTGAGTGGAGCAATTGTTCATTTGAAGCATCAAAGAGTCCAAGATCAGCTTCGCCGATGACAAAGGCAAAGTAAAGCTCCCTACCCTTCCAATATCATTTAACCCTAACCGCAAAGGAAGTTATTCCAGTATGACTTTATTTTCCCATCTGGGGGCACTTTGTGAAAAAACTGCGTGATAGCTAATAAGAACATAAGAATTTGCTAAGCCAAAGAAGACCAAGGTCCATCCAGTTCACCTTCCACCATCCTGGCAGTCACATGATATCTTATGCCCAAACTACGTATTATTTCCCGAGATATTATTTCCTAACAGAAATCTATCTAATTTGATCTCGAATGAATCGACACTTTGTCTGTGAAAGTGAAAGTCTCTCAAGAGTACTAATTTCTAACAACCTACATTCCAATGACCAAATTCAATCCACAATTCTCTCTGTGAATTTATTTGTGAATGAAACGCACATGAAATAGACCAAATGCCAATAAGTGTTTTTTTTAACAAAATTATTTCATAAATACTTACTATTGTTTGATTAATATAGAAATATGGTCATTTTTGCGGATCAGTTGGGTGTCTGTCACTTGCAGAAACCCATCACCATGCTTAAGAGCATCCAAACCAAACAAGTTCCATGTGTCCCACCTATACATGGAAATTCCATGCGGTAACAGGAATTCAATTACACACAGAACTCAGTAAAATGCTCAGTTTTTTGGGGGGGGTTGTTCATTGAATTGGGTCAACATAACCGATCTACGTGTCACATTCCCTGTGCTTAAAAAAATCTTCTTGAAAACAGATTGCAACAGTTAAGATGACAGGTTTATATTTCTATAACTGGCAATGATATACTCCCATGTCCACATTGGTTTAAATTCCACCATAGAGACGGTGTGTTTTACTGGTCCTCAGCTGTGCTATATAGTGGGCATCAAACCATTTGAAAGAACGCCACTCTATTAATCTCACCCATGGGAACACACCTCCTGCCATTATGAACCACGAATGAGCATCACAGCAGCTGCAAAGGATTGTCTCCAATTTGCCAGTTCTCCCGACAAGAGGAGAATGTCAAGGAAATTAATGGCTATGAAAAAAAAAGATGGTGGGGAAAAGGAAAGAAAAATCGCCAAATACAAAAAAGTGGGCAAATTTATTCCTGCTGTTTTTCCCGCTAAGCATTTGCATTCAATCTAAACAACTCTTTGGGAGCTGAATAGCATTTGTGTGCCACAAATTCCCCGCCCCTCCCCACCAACCCAAAATGTAAGTTATTCTGAGAGAACTGAAATATAGAAGAAAACCTCATTGCGGTTTCATATATTTCTTCTAATTCTGATTCTAATCATTTATCATCAGATGTGTACAAAATATAATGACGCGAATATTTCTGATAAAAATATTATCTGCTACACATTAAGTTTGTTGAAAGCTCCTAAAACCAGGTCACACTTTTTAAACTTGCACATTCACATGCCACCAGGGAAAATACAAATGTGCTGAACACAATAAGAGCCAACCTCCAAAATCAAAGAGGAACACAACATGGATCGTGTCAAGGTTGCAGTGCATCCCAAGGCTTACAACACTGCAAAAGCACAAGTGTGGGTCCACAAGCCATTTGTACTATAATACAGGGCGAAACCTTAGGCAAATTTCCTTCCTTCCTTGTTAGACAATTAGTCAATCGCTTTCTGGGGTAATAATCCCTTCAAAAGTGGGACACTGCTGTGCGCAATTGGCTGCCGCGTTTCCCCCGCAAAACACACAGTCGTTACACTTTATAGTATATTCTGTGAAGCGCTTTGAGACGTTTCGACGGCGTAATAAGGCGCTATATCAAATGCGAGGTTTATGATTATTACTGCATTATAAGTTGACTCGTGCTATGAAAGAGGCGTGTTATAATGGGGTACGACGTGCTTGAAGTAAATATTGGAAGTGAATGTTCTACATGGATGGGGTGAAACTTGAAAACGTTGAAAGCAAAGTAGGGGTCCTAGTTAACGCAACATATCCAAATACCATGAAACAGAAATGAACACACCTGGGCCACATTGTCAAATCAATTGAGATCAAATTCCTTGAAGTCAACGTAAAGCTGTATAGTGCTTTTGGTTAGGCCACACATGTGAATACCGTGTTCAGCAATGGGAAGAAGATTTAATAATCTGGAAAGATTAATTCAAATGGCTATGTGGATTTTTGTCATATGAAATTCTCTTGCGATTTTCTGAAAGTGAAGCTCAAATGGTTCAAGTTTGTATAACTCTTGCAGTCTTGAAGCAGCTTTCACGCATTTTTATTGCATAGAATACATACACGATTTACCAGAATTGTTGGATTAAATTTTATTCCCTATGGGTGGGGTAATATTCTACTTGGGTCAGTAGTTACAAAAAAAACGCTTCAAGATTAGGGCTGTATTTAGGAAATTTGCCAAAGTCTGTAAAAGCTCTGAAATACCATTACTAACATAATTTAAACATGTGTGTGCCAAATATTCAAAAATTGAAATACTCTTAGGAAAGACCATTTCAGCCCGAGGTATGACTGGGGGAGCAAATACTCTCCTTTATGTTTTCTGCACCATGTGAGGTCTTAACCTACCGTGCAAATGTAATTCCAATGCATTGCCACGAAAGCATAGCCTGATTAATATTTTCTCAGCAGTGCAAGGCTAGGTATGCACCACAGCAGTGAATAGAATTCATTTTGTGCACCACAGTGCCTAGAATTTTGCTTTGCATTACTGTAGGTATTCATACACCACAGAAAGCCAACACCCTTTATTTTTTTATGTGGCTGAGAAAGAAATTCAATTCCGTTCCCGTCAGCAAAGAGGCGACATCGACACAATGCTCGACTATTTTACATAACATTTTATTTCTTTGCTTTGAAACGGCAAGGACGTTTAGCTGCCAGTGTGGTTGATTAAAATGAAAGAATTGCCGAGTTACTACAGATCAAAAGGAATCTTAAGATTAGATGACGACACAAGTAAGACGGCACCAAGTGTCACGTGATCGACACACAAGCATTTACATGTTTCACAGGTTTCCGTAACTGCAGT